TCTATTGATTTATATCGTTAGTCAAAAGGAAATGCCTAGCACGGGACCTAGAATCCCGTTCGCACTTTCCTCTTTGGGTAGCATGTTGATTCTATAATTTTCCTTCCTGATTGATACTCAATAAAAGTTGTAAATTTAATTTAAATTTAGCCTTTCAACGATTATTTTGTTGTTGTTGTTGTATTTTCATTTTTTGTTGAATTTTGTTTATTTATTTATTTATTTATTTATTTTATTTTATTTTATTTTATTTTATTTTATTTTATTTTATTTTATCTATTTATTTATTTATTTATTTTGCTTTTTGTTTTTTGTTTGCTTTTGTCTTTTAGATTACGATAATACTAATAAATTTGGTTGATTTAGATTGATATTGGGCTGTGATATACCTTGCATAATCATCTTAGGCGGCTTAAGTAATGGCAATATGACGTCATTAGGAAATAGCCATTTTTAAGACTTTAATATATTTTTATAGAAAAAAGACATTTGAAGGAGAAAGTGATATTTTACTTCACTATCAGAGGACTTCCAATCCAGGAAAAGGAAGAAGCCAGTCAAAAATTTGATCGTAGTGGCACTTGAATTATTGCAAATTAACTAACTCAAATGTAGCTGTAACTGTGAAGTGTCTGCAGTTATAGAGTTAAACAAATCACACAAGCTCTAGTTATTTTCCTTCCAATACAATAAAAAAGTAAAGTAATAAACAGAGAAAAGATCAAAAGGAGAGATCTAGAAGAAATTCAGGTCCGTGCGGAGGGAGGAGTATTAGATTTTCTCTGCCTGGAGGAGTCATAATAATTTCGGGTCTTTCTTTAGCGTACCGAGCTTTATCGTATTCTGGGTCAAGGATTTTGTATGGCAGAGTGATGTTTAGCTCCAAAATCATTGTTCTTGGGGTTTTTTATTTTCTTCATGTCAAAAGCCCTGCAACACCACTAGAAAGAGCCTATTATTGGGGCTTTCTGAAACAAATATCAGAGGACGGTATCTCAAGATTTTTAATATACTTTTGATATAATTTTATGTATGTACAAAAGGCTCCGAAAATCTGCGGCACGTCGC